AGAGAGTAAAAGAGAGAAAAAGAGAGAGAGAAAGAGAGAGAAAGAGAGAGAGAGAAAGAGAGAGAGAGAAAGAGAGAGAGAGAAAGAAAGAGAGAGAAAGAGAGAGAAAGAGAGAGAAAGAGAGAGAGTAAGTAAGTTTAAAATATTTGATGGTTTTGAAAAATTAAGGACTTTTTGTCTGAGTTTGAATCAAAGATTGCGTAAAAAGTTGATAGTTTGATTAAAAGGAATGTAGATTTAATTTCAAGTTACCCTATTAATTAACTGGAATGGACTGCACACTGTTTTCCCGGAACTAATTTATCAGTCCAGAAAAAACAAGGACATCATCGTTTTTATCAGACGAATCAGCCTTCCAAAGATTAAACGGGTTCCTTGTAAATTGAAAATTCCATCAAATATGTGAGTTAACTTGAAATTACGTCTACTCTTAATAAAGTCCTATTTCATCTAGCAAAGTTGCTGGATGAAAATTTTGAATTTATTAGAGTGTACACTCCATGTACACTCCTGTAAAACCCTTCAATTATAAGTATTGAACGCATATAATTATTTACAGAGCAGACGGTGTTAATGGGGTTGAGTGGTCTGCTAGATCATACTGCAGTTATTCATGAACTCCTGTCACACCCTGATACAGATATTCTAGCTCAGGTAATATCAGCTTAAAATCCGTCCTCTAACCCCCACCCCTACACGGTGGGGTATTTTAAGGGGTGATGGGGCCGGGGGAGGGGTTTTTTTTTTGTCACAATACTCCTCTTTAAATGCATTTGCCTTGTGTTTCATGTTGAGAATGGACAAAATGAATATATTTCGATAATCTTTTAATTCACAAACATTGTATGAGTTGTATCTAGCATTGATTTATAATGACTTCAATGTTTAATTACTTTTTCCATTAATAAATTTATTCTTGAATGGATCCTGTAATCCCGCAATATAGTTAGATGTCGTCTTTGTTACAGCGAGTATTTCGGAAGAAAAACATATATCTATAGTGAAAGCACAAGAAAGTTCAGGGGTTTCGGGATAATCTAAATGTATACATAGATTCTAACAGCCACATAGAAAAGATTTACACGGGCTCCAGCGGCACCCCAAATCCTTGATTTAGAGTAGTGGATGTGTTGAAAAATCCTATTTTAAGAGTTTTCAATAAAATATCGGGGTTTCGGTCGAAATTCTTAACTAATTCATGTATCCAGGTAGAATACATCATGTATCCAGGTAGAATACATCATGTATCCAGGTAGAATACATCATATATCCAGATAGAATACATGATGTATCCAGGTAGAATACACCATCTATCCAGGTAGAATACACCATGTATATAGGTAGAATACATCATGTGTCCAGGTAGAATACATGATATATCCAGGTAGAATACACCATGTATCCAGTTAGAATACATCATGTATCCAGGTAGAATACAACATGTATCCAGGTAGAATACATCATGTATCCAGGTGAGCACACCATGTATCCAGGTAGAATACATGGTGTATCCATGTAGAATACACCATGTATCCAGGTAGAACACACCATGTATCCAGGTAGAATACATCATGTATCCAGGTAGAATACATCATGTATCCAGGTAGAATACATGATGTATCCAGGTAGAGTACATCATATGTATCTAGATAGAATACATGAGTTATCCAGGTAGAATACATGATGCATCCAGGTAAAATACATGATGTATCCAGGTAGAATACATCATGTATCCAGGTATAATACACCATGTATCAGAAAAGCTCAGAGAAATAGGGTTGAAAGTTATAAAAGACATTTTATTTGTTTCCGGAGGTCTTGGTAAAAATAAGTGAACATTTCCTTGTTCCTTGAGTTCTATTCCCCCTTTTCTTCTTCATCCTTTTCCTTTACTCTGAAGCTCCCATAACATCCATAAATTAGAGAAGGGCGGGAAGGAGTAGAAATGGTGAAGAGGGTGAGGTTGTGGGGTTAAGATCTTATGTAGATTTGAGCTTTTTCAAACATGTCTCAAATCTGATTTTTTAATGTAATTCTAAGCTTAAATTTGAAAAGGTATATTTACCCTCACCCCTCACACCTCAAGCTATGGTTCTCTCCTCCTGGTTTTATTTAATATATCCAGCAATACTGCACCAGAAGGCTCCAGGTCTGGTTTATTATAGAGTTCTATTTAGAATATTAAAAGTTTCTTGACATGACCTGGATTACGCATTTATTTACTGAGTAATACGCAATCTAAAATGTAACAAATGATTAATGTTATTTTTAAAGGAACTGATTATTCGAAACAAAACCTATTTTTTTAATCTCTACATCTCTGCAACCGGTAATTCCCCACCCCTCCCCCCTTCATTAAAATGTTCAAGGGCAAAGTATGATTTGTGGTCGCAGCGCCAGGCCCCTACCCTGTCCTAGCCGCGACTTTTGGGGCCCGTAGTCTGTCCTAGGCGCAGTGGTCAGTCCAGAATGATACAAAATATCAGTGGCGTACGAGGGGGGGTCGCGCCCCCCCTCTGTATGTAGATGTAGATTGAGTAAATTCTATCTAAAAATTTCAGAAGAAATTTCGTTTACTAGTGAAAATAAAATTTTTAATGATGCTGTTAGCTGTGATGGAGTAAAGTGATAAATCTATAAAGTTAAAAAGTTAGTTTTTTAAGCAAAGGAATAATTTTTAGACTCTATAAGGTTAGTAACCACCCAAAAATGTAGTCTTTTTGGTGTATTTTTATGGTGAACAAAACCATTCCCAGAGGGAGGGGGGGGGGGCAAAAAAAATTAAAAAAGGTATCAATATTTTTTCAAATAAGGGGTTTTAAGGGGGGGCACAATGTTGCCAAGGCCGGGTGGGGGACCCCCTCCCCCCTAAACAAAAGCCCTCGTACGTCTCTGCAAAATATAACAAGTTGTGGCTTAAAATAGTACAAGGAACATGAGGCAAAGCAATTGTGCAGTGTAAACAGACCCATTTCAGCAATTAAGTGATTTAATAACTTAAAGCTTTGTAGCAACATCAAATGCACTTAACAGTATTGCTTTAATGTCATGTTCCTATTCCACAGTTTTTTTGGGTTATCGCTGTAGCATGAATAGCCAAAGCATAAAACGTCAAAGTTTTATATCATCTGCAGTTATATAGATATAAAGATTAGAAAATTATAGTTTGGGATGAGTAATCAGTTTCTTTTACAAACATATTTGATGATCAACATTATTTTATTTCACCCTCCTTTTCCTCCCCACCTTTCTTCCCCAAACTCCGTACAATCATTTCAAAAATTTTAACAAACCTCTTTTTGCTTTGAGTTTGAGTTAAATCGATAATTTATAAAACTGATTCTCGCAAAACCCGAGAAAGTAATAATTCTAAATCTTACTTTTCTTTTTTTCTTTACATTTATCTTTTCAGGATATTGTTATTCAAATAAATTATACTTTTCCATTACTTTTCTACTTATCTGTACTTCTATTTTATAGATTATCGTACCATTTGCTTTTTATATCTGTATTTATTAAGTAGTAATCTCTGTTTGTTCTTTTGGGATATCCGATCATAACTCATGAACCCTTGGACCGATTTGCCTTAAATTTTGATGTGGGAACTTAAAAAAACAACGGGAATGTTCTTAGTCTGGTTTAATGGGTTAAACTTTATAGTCTTGAATAATATTATTTTATTCTTTATATTTAAGCTTTTTTAACGACAAACCTCAATATTTTTTTCTAAATACATATTTATAAAATTTTGAAATCAAGGATAAAATGGGGAAAGCCATAAAAAGAAAAGAAGTGAGATATAAAATATGTTCAGGAGTATAACGAAGAAGGTTGGAGAATATAAGAAGCTGACAGGACAATATCCGGGTGTCTGGAGAACTGCCGCAGAAACCAAGGTTCAATCTAAATCTGTCTCTGATACTTGGTTCAATCTAAACCTGTCTCCGGTATAAGGTCCAATCTATCTCTTATACTAGGTTCAATATAAACGTTCCTGTCTTGGTTATAAGGCTCAATTCAAACCTGTCTCCGGTATAAGGATCAATTTAACGGTGTCTCCGGTATAAAGGTAAAATATAAACTTGTCTCCGGTATAAGGTTCAATTTAAACCCGTGTCCGCTATTAGGTATAATCTAAACCTGTCTCCGGTATAAAGTTCAAAATAAACCTATCTCCAATAGAAGGTTCAAACTAAACCAGTCTCTGGTATAAGGTTCCATCCAAACCTGTCTCCGGTATAAGATTCAATTTAAACCAGTCTCCGGTCTAAGGTTCAAACTAAACTCGTCTCCGGCAAAAAGGTTCAAACTAAACCTTTCTCCGGTTGAAGGTTCAATCTAAATCTGTCTCCGGTCGGTTCTATTTAAACCTGCCTCCGGAATAAGTTTTAATCTAAACTCGTCTCCAGTATAGGCTCAATTAAAACTTTTCATATGGTACAATACATATTTATTTTATATAAAAACTGCAAGTAATTACACTGCATTGCATAGAAATCTAAGGTATCTGCTACAATTTTGTTTTCATCGCTGTATCATCGCTCATTTTCTGTCGTTTAGCTACAAAAAGAGGATTTCGAAGTTTAGACGGTAGTTCCAGAAAGTTTGGTGGGTGCAGGATAACCTTGGATGGTTTGTAAGAGATCACGATGAAACAATGATTTTGTATTGTTTGGGACGGTTTTGTGGAAACTGGAGAGAAAGTATATTTTGGGACGGTTTTAAATGAGTATAGTTTGGGAGGGTTTTGTAGAGGGGAGTATAGTTTCGGACGACTTTGTAGAGAGGAGTATAGTTTCGGACGATTTTGTAGAGGGGGCAGAGGCGCAACTAGGGGGGGCGGCCGGGTGCGCGCCCTATCCTAGCACCTGAGAGGGGGGGGCGCCCCCCCCCCATCCTGCAGAATGAAATGAAAGAATATCATTATCACAGAAGTCAGGTATGATAAAACCAAAAGTTATTGTAGAAATTGTATTCTTCAATGGTTAGTTTAAAAAAAATATTTTTATCTTTCTGAATTTTCAAGGATAAAGGTTATTGTAAACATTTAATGTAAAAAAAGTTCCGAACTGTGTTCAAACTTTGAATTTTGAATCTCGAAATTTGAAGATTTAGGGATTAGAATATTTGAGTTTGTGGCAAAAACTCAGTTCAAATCTAGATAACATTCTGAGACTGAACCAGGCAAACTTCTAACTGATTATCATATTTGATAACTGTTTTTGATAGAACTTTTATAAAATCGAAAATGAAATAAGATTATGAATGTTGGTTAGAATGATAAATCATAAATTCAATAACTTAAGGAAAAAACGTAACATTATCTTTCATTTTTCAATGTAGATGATTAAAATAATATATGTATTTTGATATATTTTTTTTCAAAATAAATAAATGATTATTTCTTGTAATTATATCTGTAACTAAACAAGGTACTTAACAGATTTTCTTTGGCGCTCCGCGCACACATGAAAAGAATTGATTGACTTTTATCGTTAATTTTACAGTTGTTGAAAGTATAATTTTTTAAAAAAACACTAGAAAAAAAGCGATTTGAATTGAACACAGCCAAATCTGAATGCAACAACTGAAAATTTCCTTTTTTTCGATATCAAACCCCTTAAAAAAGGACTTTTATTTTGAAAAAAAATTCTAAATGGGGGGAAACCCCCCTTACACCCCCCAGACCATTACAAAATAATTTTTTGCCCCTCCTTAGAAAAAGTGCCAGTTGCGCCTCTGGAGGGGAGTATAGTTTGGGAAGACTTTGTAGAGAGGAGTATAGATTGGGACGACTTTGTAGAGAGGAGTATAGTTTGGGACGGTTTTGTAGAGAGGAGTATAGTTTGGGACGGTTTTGTAGAGAGGATTATAGTTTGGGACGGTTTTGTAGAGGGGAGTATAGTTTGGACGACTTTGTAGAGAGGAGTGTAGTTTGGAATGATTTTAAAACGAGTAGTGTTTTGAGAAGAAAATAGTTTAATTTTTGATGTTTTGGTAGTAAATGTATGATTTGGGACTGTTTTTTTGAGTGGAGTATAGTTTGGGACGATTAGTAGAAATAAGTGTTTCGGACGGTTATGTAGAGAAAGGTATAATTGTAGAGATAAGTATATACTTTGAAAGTATAACTCATGATGGTTTTATTAAGACAAGCATATTTTGGGACGATAGACGGCTCTGCGGAAAGGAGCATATCTTGGAACGGCTTTGTAGAGAGCTTTTCGACTGTGATGGTTTTTGAAAAATGAAGAAACATTATAAGAATGGATTTGATTGGAAACTAAATTCTTCTGACGTTTTCATCATCTGAGTAAATTAATGGAGGAAAAGGAGAAATCGAAAATAGATAAATTAATCCAAAACTTGTCTTCAACTTAAATATACTTTTGGATTGTTTCTCCAGAGTATATCCATTTTTCTTTAATCATTTTTTTCATCCCCAATATCAATAGGGTGTCCCACGAAACATGACAGTTGGTGAATAGAATAAAATGTCTTCTTCCATATTTTTAAGACACTAATAAAAATATCACATGGCAGTCATATTATATAAAAATTCATTTCATAACAAAATACATTTGAGTAAAAGATTTTTTAACGAATTAAACTGCGAAAAGTCTTTAATATCTAACACAGTATTTGGAAGAAGACATTCAAAACTATTCACCAACTGTCACGTTTCATGGGGGACCCTGTATTTCTGCATTCTTGTTTTCTCTTTGTTTGTTTTTATTCTTTTTAATGTCATTTCTATTCCGTTAAAATCTGTCCTCATGGGCTCATTCCTTCAAAATTTGCTTTATCTCGGGATATTGTTTGGCTCTCTCTATAGCAGACAATCAATTTTTTAAAGTTTTTTCGTTTTTAAATCTAATTATTTCTTTCGTTTTAGTTCTTGGTTTTCCGTGATTTCATTGAATCCTAGTTTTCATTGATTTTGTTGAATCCTAGTTTTCATTGATTCATTCAATCCTAATTTTATTGTTTCCGTTCAATCGTAGTTTTTTTTGTTTTCATTCAATCCTAGCTTTCATTGATTTATTCAATCCTAGTTCTTATTACTTTCGTTCAATCCTAATTTTATTGTTTCCGTTCAATCCTAGTTTTTATTGTTTTCATTGAATCCTAGTTTTCATTAATTCATTCAATCCTAGTTTTCATTTATTCATTCAATCCTAGTTCTTATTACTTTCGTTCAATCCAAGTTTTCATTGCTTTTGTTCAATTCTAGTTTTCGTTGCTTTCGTTTGATTCTAGTTTTCGTTGCTTTCGTTCAATCCAAGTTTTTATTGTTTTCTCTCAATGCCAGTTTTCATTGCTTTCGTTCAATCCAAGTTTTCATTGCTTTCGTTCAATTCTAGTTTTCATTGTTTTCATTCAATCCTTTCATTCATTCATTCATTCATTCATCTAATCCTAGTTTTCGCGTTTTTGTTTAATCATAATTTGATATGCTTTCGTTCAATTCTAGTGTTCGTTGCTTTCGGTAAATTTTAGTTTTCATTTTTTCTTTCAATGCTAGTTTTCATTGCTTTCGTTCAATCCAAGTTTTCATTGCTTTCGTTCAATCCAAGTTTTCATTGCTTTCGCTTAATTCTAGTTTTCATTGCTTTCTTTCAATTCAAGTTTTCATTGCTTTTTTTCAATTCTAGTTTTCGTTGCTTTCGTTCAATCCAAGTTTTCATTGCTTTCGTTCAATTCTAGTTTTCATTGCTTTCGTTCAATTCTAGTTTTCATTGCTTTCGTTCAATTCTAGTTTTCATCTCCTTCATCAATGTCTTCTTTATTCTTTAAAGGGACTGTTTCATTTATTCCTAGACAGTCTAGAATATTCTATTCCTAGACAATCTAGAATATTCTATTCCTGAACAATCTAGAATATTCTATGCCCAATGTAGTTTTGAAAAATTCGAATGTTAATATTTATATTCTGCCACTTCTTGAAAGTAAATATTAATACATTAAATATAAAACAAAGACCCAATTTAAATAATTTGAGCCGCGGCTTAAATTTGGGACGCGGCTCAATTATAACCGGTTTTTGGAGGATTTGAGACGTGGCTCAAATTTAATGGATGTTTTATCTTTAGACNAGTCTACAGTGACTGTAGGCATAATTTTAAATAGTCTAAAGTGACTGTAGGCATAATTTTAAATGACATTTCATATAATGTTTTAAAAATCTGAAAAATAATAAAATATAAATATTGTCAAATATTAAAACCGTTTATTAAGATAAATTTGGTATAGTCTTTCATCCTTGATCAGTCAAACGTTTAAAGGGTACCGTTGTGAATCCTTGATCAGTCAAAGGTTAAAAGGGTACCGTTGTGAATCCTTGATCAGTCAAAGGTTTAAAGGGTACTGTTGTGAATCCTTGATCAGTCAAAGGTTTAAAGGGTACCGTTGTGAATCCTTGATCAGTCAAAGGTTTAAAGGGTACCGTTGTGAATCGAGAATGTCCCTCTTTAAATGAAAGGTCACTTAAAATTACGCTTCTGGTCCCTTAAACTTTAAAATTAATTGTAGACAATTTTGCAACAAAGCAATTAAATTAAATGTGCCGTCAAAGTATTTAGAAATTATAATATATATCTAATCTAAATAATGAAATGTCCTTTTTTGAGTAGGGTTTATACTTTATACCTCTCTGCATGAGGGCAAAGAGTAAATTAGAAATTAAACCTATTGTGGATTTTCCAACTTTATCAAATTCAATCTTTCTCCAGTACTGAATCAGTCCAGATTCCTTCAACTGTCGAATTTTGGTTGAGAGTCTAAAAATATTTAGTTTATTTTGGGGTAAATATAATTATTCTTCTTTTTCTTGGATCCCTTCACCATACTTTTTAGAAAAACCGAATTCAATAATCTCATTTTTAGAGAGAACACAAAGATATCTCTCATTTCGGTAATGTTACTTAAAATGACTACATCCTTGATCATGGCACTGCACTGCCTAATGAGAAATTATATTAATAGCGTTAAATACATTTCATTATACTTTTTGAATGATTTTAGTTTTAGTGAAAACTTAAAAATATTTCGACAGACATGAAGGGTCAAAAAGGATTTTTTTTACAGTGAGAACCAGAAAGTTATGCCATTATGCCAGAAGATGCCATTAAGACGTAAGTTATGTTTTAAAATATAGTGCAAATAAACATGAAACACAACAACTGTGTATTATAAATCTGTTAATTCTTTTAAAATATTCTGCAAATAAACATGAAACACAGCAACTGTATATTATACATCTGTTGATTCTTTTAAAATATTCTGCAAATAAACATAAAACACAACAACTGTATATTATACATCTGTTAATTCTTTTAAAATATTCTGCAAATAAACATGAAACACAGCAACTGTATATTATACATCTGTTAATTCTTTTAAAATATAGTGCAAATAAACAGGAAACACAACAGTTGTTTATTATACATCTGTTATTTCTTTTAAAAATAGTTTTAATGTCGTGCTAATATTTCATAGCTGTATGAATGGTAAAAACAATTGTGGTTTACCGTTGATTATAAGGAGAATCTTTCTGAAGACCAAGAGCAATAGCAAATGGGAACAGACATTCTCGCATAATATGAAGGCTAGATTTTCCAAACTTATCAGTAAAATCTTTTCTTTAAAAAGAATTTTCGTGAATTTTAAAGATGGTTAAAGTTACTGCGGTTTATATTAATACAATGAAGACGACTTTTTATTTAAGTTTTGATTTCTGATTAGCTTTTTCCCAATTACAAGTTTACATCGTAAACAAAGAGAGAGAAGCTTTTAATTGAAATACTTTCTTTATCTCTTTGATATTTGTGTATCCATGTGCATCCATTATGTTTGAAAGCTAAGTAGAAATAAAAATTTGAAAACGAAAGTCGTCTTCATTGTATTGACATATATGACGACAACTATACAATTAGTACCATTGCTGTTGTTATACAAAGTTATATAAAAACGGATCATTTTATAAAACGCATATTTGATGATTTGATGTAAATATGTTATAAATTGTGGATCAGAGAAAAGCTTATATCTAGTTTCTACTTTTACTATAATCGCCAAAAAAAATTTTAATTTCTTTTAAAATGTCTGGGTTTTTTCTAACCTTTTGTTGTATATAAGATTAGTCTGCCCTTCTGCCATAATAACTTTATTTTCAGAAACATTTTTGAATGCTTCTTCAAAATTGTAGTGTGAAATGTAATTCTAGAAATGTTTTTAAATTTCAGATTAAATCAAATTAAAATACGTAAAATTAAAATAACTATATATTTGCAACCCGATATCGTAGACTTTTGATTAATTAATCTAAGTTTGATATAATAAACGTTTATACCATCAGGTTGCAAATATATAGGAAATATAAAACTTGTTCTTGATAAACCTCAGCTATTTTTTGAAGAGACGGGTCCAGGCTTTGGTTTGCTAGTCCAACAAATGTATTTCTGAAAAATAATCTTGAAATGACCCATTTATATAATAAAGGACGGTTTAGAATTATGTACATTGATACAGATTAAAAATGTTTTAATATCTTCTTTTACACAAGAAAAACTATAAATGTGTCCTAAGGGGTATTTTACCTATTATTTTTATCATGGAATCCGTAATTTGATAACACAAAATGTGTTCTTATTTTTTAAAGATTCAAGGAGCTGATATGTAACATGGTTTAAAGAATTATTGCTTTTCACTTTAAATCTTACTCAATCGTCGACCAGGTACATGTCCCAGGTAGGGATGGGCCTGGTACATGTACTAGATAGGGATGGGCCTGGTACATGTCCTAGGTAGGGATGGGCCTGGTACATGTACTAGATAGGGATGGGCCTGGTACATGTCCTAGATAGGGATGGGCCTGGTACATATCTTAGGTAGGGATGGGCCTGGTACATGTACTAGATAGGGATGGGCCTGGTACATGTCCTAGGTAGGGATGGGCCTGGTACATGTACTAGATAGGGATGGACCTGGTACATGTCCTAGATAGGGATGGGCCTGGTACACGTACTAGATAGGGATGGGCCTGGTACATGTCCTAGATAGAGATGGACCTGGTACATGTCCTAGGTAGGGATGGGCCTGGTACATGTCCTAGATAGGGATGGACCTGGTACATGTCCTATGTAGGGATGGGCCTGGAATATGTCCTAGATAGGGATGGGCCTTGTACATGTACTAGATAGGGATGGGCCTGGTACATGTCCTAGGTAGGGATGGGCCTGGTACATGTCCTAGATAGGGATGGGCCTGGTACATGTCGTAGATAGGGATGGGCCTGGTACATGTCCTATGTAGGGATGGGCCTGGTACATGTCCTAGGTAGGGATGGGCCTGGTACATGGCCTAGGTTGGGATGCGCCTGGTACATGTCCAAGATAGGGATGGGCCTGGTGCATGTCCTAGGTAGGGTTGGGCCTGGTACATGTCCTAAGTAGGGATGGGCCTGGTACATGTCCTAGGTAGGTATCTGGGCCTGGTACATGTTCCACTTAGGGATGAGCCTGGTACATGTCCTAGGTAGGTATCTGGGCCTGGTGCAGTAAGGTAAAAAAATATCATCTTCATAAAAAGACGACTAAAAAAATGTTTTAATTAAGTAAATTATATTTAGTGAATAAATGTTGAGTTTACCCAAAGCTTGAGACAGGTAGGGATTGCTGGGCGACTTCCCTAAACAAAATTCGTCATATCTATAGACTTATATCAGCTTTATATATATTTATATCAGTTATATCTATATTTATATCAGCTATATCTACATAAATAAAATTGCAATCTCTGTTTGTCTGTCTGTTTGTTTGTCCGAGCATGAACTAAGGAACCCATGGACTGATTTGCCACAAATTTTGATTGGGGAACTCGGGAGACCCACAAAAATGTTCTTAGCCTGGTTTTAAAAGATTCTAAATTGATTGGGTCCACTTTAATAGCGAAAATTTAGTTTCCCAGTAAAATCTTTTAAGTGCGAGTGAACGGCGGGAGTAACTTAATGCAACCTGGGCAGAGCTGGGCTCCCAAGCTAGTATATCATAAAGTAGTAATCTCTGTTTGTCTGTCTTTTTGTTCAGATGTCCGATCATTCATAACTCATGGACCTTGACAGATTTGCCTAACATTTTGATTGTGGAATATGGTAGAACCCTGGGAATGTTGTTTTATAATTCTTGAATTCCAAAGAAAGTTGTGTTCCACTTTTAAAGCTAGTATTTATTATATTTATAATCATTGGTTGGAAAGGGGTTGCTCGTCTATTAAGAAATGTACGCAATATTACGCAATATTACGCAATATTACGCAATATTACGCAATTTTCGGGATTAGGAAAAACATCCAAACCACTTAAACAGAGGGGTGGATACAGGATTTAAGTGAGGGGGGGGGGGTGCTAGATTTATTTCGGAACAAAAACATCCAGATTTAGGAACAAATTTTTTTTATATTTTTTTGTCTTTCCTGTTTTGCATTAGGTTTTCTTTCCCTTAAGTACTATTGAGGAGCTATTCTGAAATCTCAGGGGGGTGCGAAGGTCCTACCGCCCCCCCCTGTATCCGCCCCTGCACTTTGATATTCCTGTTGACCAGAAGAAACTAGTATATTTTTTGTCAAAATATAAAATCATTTATGATATTCAGAGCAGTGTAGTTTTATAAACGACAAAAAGAGCAAAGGCAATTATTTTCTTGCCTTTGCTTTCCACCCCCAATGTGAATTTCCTAGAAGGATCTGGTTCATTTGTTGCACTGTCCCATTCTTTCTCATGTAATCTGAATGTGTATACTGTACAGCTCGCTCTAGCGAGGGAGGGGAGGCAATCTCTCCCGCACAGCTTCCGAATCTCATTTTAGCTATTTTCGGTAGTGCGCGTCCCCATACGGCTTCCGAACCTCCCCCAAACAGTCTACCATGAATGATCTTCCATTTTTAATTGTCAATTTCTACTTAAACCGGGACTAACTCGATAATTTAAGCACGGTAGTCAATCTATAGTATCCATAATATTTGCATAATATTTTTGTTTTTTACAATCAAAGATCCGGTTGGTTAGATGTCGGCCCGGTTCTTGAAATGAACCTGAATTAACAGATCCCCACCCCACCCACCCCCATTCACCCCAGCGCAAGAACTTGCCATATCACACCGGTAAAAATTCCTTTCGTTAAAAATTTGAAAATTCATTTGCACTGAAAACTGGAAAATCCGCGACTTTTCTTATTTTTATCATTCTAGAGTGTGCGCAAGGAAGAAATACCAATATGGAAGTATATTTGATGGTATTATAAAGCAAATAATTTTACTGGACGCTTGTAAAATCCCTAATTTTGTGAAATAGGTCTGTTTAAACTGCGCAATTTCTGTTTCTCATGGTCATTGGACTTTTTAAAATTAAAAGTTGAATTCTCAAAGTTGTCTTACTATTACAGAGTTTTCTGATTATCACTGTAGAATTTTGGCGCGAAGCGCCTTGTAATCCAGTAAAAATTTTAGTTCACATCAAAACTAATGAATATCTATCTACCTTATTGTATTTATTATTTTTGGTTTGAGTTGAGTTGTCATTACCGATGTTAATCCAGATTTATATCTAAACAAATTAATATCAGCATAAAAAAACCCTTAAGTGACCTAAAAATGTCCCCCTCGTTAAAAAGTTTAAAATTTTATACCCTTGAAATCTTTATCTGAGGAACAATGGGGAAGATATCGTCGTTTTATATCTTGAAAATTTTTAATTCTGCTTAAATCATTCTCACTCTCTCAGTTTTATCAGTTTAAAGATGAAATGTATTTGTTCAACCAAAGGTTTAAAGGAATTGTCAATTGAATTTACGAACACAGTCTCTTTAACTAGACTTTTTCCTAGCTTACCCACAAACAATGACCAGAAGACCGAGAAGCCAGAATACAACCAGAATTCTACTCCCAGTACTCTTCAACAGAAATAACCGATCCTGAGATTTCTCCAGACTGTTCTCAAAGACCAGGAAGAATCCTTGAAAAGAGAAATAAGCTTTGATAATTCTTCAAAGTTCGCTTACTACTGTCTACCCTATATTTTCATAATTTCCCAAACCGAACTTTTTCAAAGCTATGTATTTAGCTGATATTGAACCTAATCGTGAGATCATTTTAGTGAGATATAACGAAGTTCAGTGTATATTCGTTAAGCACTTTCAAAAAAGTATTTTCCCAACGCGACAACTTCTCAAGTCTGTCCTAGCCGCAGCGCTCGGTCCCCTATCTCATCCTAGCCGCAGCGCTCGGCTCCAATAGCAAAACCTTTAGGAAGTTGGCGCTTGGGAAATTGACTTGGGAACTTGCCATTTGCACTTAATTGAAACATGTAAGTCGACCTTGGGAAAATGCATTTTGGAAAATATACAATAAATATTGTCTACTGTATGTAAACTGTTTAACACCCTAATCTCATTTTCTAAAAGTTTACTTTCTTCGCAATACGCTGAATCTTTCTCTAACCAAAAATGTTAACCAAATAGATTTTCAAAATTATTAGCAAATAGTGTGTAATTAAACAAAACTAATTGAGCAAACAATTTCGAATAAGGATAAAATTTCAGTTTCTTTTAGAGACTCTTGAAACTAGAAAATAAAACTAATTTTTTAATAGGAGTGTTGGCGAAAAATGAAAAGGGGTATAGGCTTACGACGAATTATCAATGGTGATCACTACTAATCTTATTTCTATCTGTTGCGTCTATAAGGAGAAATTTGCTAATAACTACTCATATCGAAGAACGTAGTGTCCATACAAATTAGGAAAGTCACAACATACGACGTAAACAAATCAATTTAATTCCAAACAAACTCAAGATTAAAAGCAATTGAAAAATCCTAAAGAAGTGGGTTAGGTGAAATAGGCCTATGATACTACGTAATACGTATAGTACGGGTACTGTAAAATGTCTGACCGCGCCAACAAAGTTGTAACCGAGCCGGCATTGGATAGGTTCGGGCCGGTTTAGTAAAAGGGATCGGTCCTGTTCGAATTTAAATAGGCCGTAGTCCACCGCATGAGTAGGCGTTACCTCCGACCTTACCTGACAAAAGATCTATGGGCGGATCCTGGTGATGTATATTTGTGAAAAAATACAGAAGAAAACACATACACAGGGACATCACAATAAAACTGTAAATATTTACTTTAATTATACTTCAAATGAAATTATAGACACACTGATTTACTTTTGCTTTAATTGATACAAAGGCATTTAGTCTTTGCTAAAAACTTTTGAATTTTTAATCCCTATATCTTTCCAATATAATATTGTAGACTTTGATATTTCAAACTATGAGTTCTAAGTTTGAAATATCAAAGATTTTCCCCATTTGAAGCGAGTAATAAGTTCCTTAGTGAATCATAGGATGTTTTTGTTAATACCTGAACCATGTAAGTGAATCTAGGGGGTATATAATCGCTATCCACTAAACAAACAAATAGAAAATAAAAAGATAAGAAAAATTTTTCTCAATTCTAAAAAAAATTTAAAAATGTACATGGGGTTTTTAAAAATCTGAATTCAATTTTATGTTGAATCAATTTACAATGAAATCGTATTTTCAGACAAATCAAATAAAATGCGAGAAAATTAAATAGAAACTGAGTTTACTGCAAATTATTTCATTGTTATTTTTATGGCTCTTTACATTCTATAATGTTAACTAAGTTCCCGGCAAAAATAAACATATTTTCCCGTATGACAATTGACAATTGACAAGACAAAACGGTTGGAAAAATAAATATTGTCTAACCTGTGCAGGGGGTGGTGGTATTTTATACAAAAAACAAACATACTCAAATTCATAAAACTCAGTGTAACTGATATATTTCATTCTAATGAGAAAAACGTTTTATTAATTTTGTTTAAGTATTCGTAAGAATTGCAAAACGCTAATTTGCTAATCACTGTCATTTTTTTAAAACTGGAATTTTCCAGGATTTTCAGCAACCCTTTATTTGTGTTGTGGCAACTAGCTGGCATGTTGGATTTACAATCTTTAATAGCTTTGCATGGTCAAGATTGAGACAGATATCCATGTTATTAACATTTGAAAATCGATCAATAACAATTGTGGTTTTCCATAAAACTGGTTAAAGAGAAAATTTGGTTGTATATATGTATCAGGGATTAAAAACGTATTTTATTTTTTCATTTCAATAGCTCTGAATAGCTGAATTTCATAAAATGTTGGATTTACAATGAGATATACTTTGGAGAAAAAAATTTAACAGTAGCGGTTGAATGAACGGTTGAATGAGCGGTTGAATGGGCGGTTGAATGAGAGGATGAATGAGCGGTTGAATGAGCGGTTGAATGAGCGGTTGAATGAACGGTTGAATGAGCAGTTGAGATCTATGTAGTCAGGCCTCTACGACGTTGTTCTGAATAAGTAATGCGACTTTTTTTCGTTCTCTATAATTAAAATTGATTCAACCTCTAAATTATATTCTTCAGGTAAAAAGATTTTCCCTCAACCGCTGGGTTTCGAGTTTTTACATATATGTGTTTGGTTTTTGTATGAAATTGTGTGCTTACAGCTGTTGAAGACAAAAACGTTAAATGCCTCAACCGCTCGTTCAACCCCTACCGCGGGTTTTTTTTCTCCAAAGTATTATTGGATTTAAAAACTAGATGTGATAAAATGTAATTTAAAACATAAGATTTCCATCTTACGCGCTATTTTCTAGAATTTGACGTGGTAAAAATACTGAAAACCTGAGAGGAGGTAATTAAAAAAAAATAAAAATTAGTAAACAAATATTTGTTCAAAAAGACCATAGTCTCTTTGAAAGATAGTCAAATGAACATTAGTCCAATTGATATGACACCCTATCTCACCTATCTAGGTTTACAAATAGATCTGCATATCCAATATCTGATTCTTGTTTCTGAAGTTGTCCAACCAGGCCATTAAACGTTAAACCATCAGCCTGTGTAGAACTATTGAATCGGCTTCTTACCAACGTTACCGACCCATGAGAGGGACGTTAAGTTACTTTCCTTCCCTTGGGACAGTCAAGTAAAATATCGAGTAACGAACCTCTCTGCAAAGTTTTCAAAAAAGAAATTTGCCTATTTTCATTTCAAAAGAAGATAAAATTGTGAACAACTATACTTATTGAGGAAATTAAAAATGTTACATAACCACGGGTGCCCTTGACCAATTTTGCATTGGGAACACTTGGTAAAGTAAAATTCCCTTAACTTCCCAGTAAAGTATGAATCGTAAATAATTATTACCAAAACATATCTGCACCTAACAATGATCCCCCCCCCCCCCACGGGGTTATATGTAAGTTGGGGATTTTGCATATTTCATTGTGTCATAGAAGGACCACTTGGAAATTAACTAGATTAAAAGCCGTTAGTAAACAATATGTCCAAAGTCCGGTCTTGCTCTCATGCCCGGTAATTTTTAAAATCTTTGTTAATGCTTTTTTTAACCAGTTTTAACGGTCCTTATACGTCACAGTAAAATGTGTGCACAAACCCTATCCCTCACATTGATAATTTGATACAGCAGATTGTTATGCTGTACATAATTGTCGCCTGAGAAAATTTTATTCAATAACGACTTTTTCCTCTAAAATGTGGTTGTTATGACATGTTTTTTTACCATTAATTCTCCCCACATTTCACCATTTGGAGGAGTTGAGATACTTGGTGTAAATCTAAGACTATCAGCCAGGGCGTTTATTAACTAAATATTATTTAATTGATATTTCTTATCAGAAACTACAAAAAATGTTGTTGAAAAATTTCACACAAAATATCAAATAACGAAATATTAGAGATTATTATTCAATAAAATTAGAGTAAAAAAAATCAATGCACTAATTATCAAACGTGGTTTGCCAAAAATCTATTTTTTTTAACTTGACCTTACTTAGTTAGAAATAGAATTACAGGGACAAAATACGTAATTTCAAGCAACCCTTCATTTCTACAGTCGTACGTCGATTCACAACAATACCCTTTGAATTATTTTCTGATCATGAATGTATAAAATATCCTAGTTTTGATGAAATTTGATTATTTTCATAAGTGGGTTGTCTTTAAAACTCACTTATACGGATATAGGCGGCATATAAAATAGATGTAGAGGTTACTCTATAGTAACCTCTACATCTATAGAGTAACCTCTACATCTATTATCCCTTTACCCTACCGACCTCAAGGTTCAAATTATGATATTCTTGAATTATTTCATTCAGGGTTGCCCACAAAGGAAGAAACTTAAATGAGTTACACCAAGGAAGAGCTCCCCAATATAGCAGCTAATTCTAAGGTTGAACTAAGTCCTTTGCCTTTCATATAGATTTGCTAGGCATTTTTAATGGTTGGGCAACAAAGAAACAAGTTATTAGTTGCAGAGAATATAAAGAAACAGATGGTATAATTTCCGTACAATCGTCTCTGTTGTCTCGTCCTTTGTGGGTAACAATTCACAATTCTTAGTTTGAAATACCAAAGGTCATCGGCCATGGGTTGCGAAGATATAAATTGGTGGCAAAAGCTGAGTTTCTTTGTTTACCTTAGTTTCTGATCCTGCAAATTTATTTGTTTTGTCCTTGTAGGAGAACGGAGGAACATTAACTGTTGTTACTCTGAAAAATAAAACCCAGTTATTCAGATGAATAGTCAGAGATTCTTCACTTTCGAACCTATTTTTAATAAAGAAATCTTAGATAAATAATTTAGTGTGTTTAGCGAACAGAAGAAGTGTGAATCTGCATATTCTGATCCTACTAGTCTGACCCTACCATAGTTTGATCCTTCCAAATTATAATCTTAGCATAGTCTGATCCTATAATATCCTGATTCTACCATAGTCTAATCCTCCATATTATAATCCTACCAAATTGCAATTCTATAATAGTCTGATCCTATCAAATTACAATCCTACCAAAGCTAGTTTGATCCTATTATAATCCTACCTCATAATTTTGCCTCCAAAGTGTAGAGGTGTATCAGGCACTAAAGGTTTGTCTAGAAGGTATCCTGTCCCGTTCCAATAATTGTAGAATTCTACTTCAGATCCATTTCTGAATTAAGATAACAATATATCCCTACACTAAGAATAAATTCAAAACAAAACGAACATTTTAGAACAAAAGATATGTACTTAAAGCAAAAGAATAATGGAAAATAAGTAGTTTTATATGCTTTACAATTGTACAGTACTGTGTACAGTAAATAGTGTACACATGCAGTGTTCAGAGCCCAAAACTTAATACAGAGTATTGAAATTAAACCCAGTATGAGAAACCTGCTTTCATGAAAGGAGTAAGGCAGTTTTGTAGATACTAATATTTTTATTAAAAAATATTACTTCAGCTGGTTTACGTACAATGTCTGGTGTATGTTCAGGATATGTCTGTATAGTGTACATACAGAATATTTCTTGATTAATTCATAGTTTATGCACAATGGTACAGCGTCCTGCGTACACTCCTGGTTTTTGTACAGTGTACATGCTTGGTTTATGTACAGTACATACTTGCCTGATATATACTCCGTAAAGTTTACTTCTTTTCCATTTGTATTCCACTACTGTATTTATCTGTAAACAAATGAAACCTCTGAACTGTAAGAACTGTAAGATCAAATAATCCAAGGTTCAAATATCAAAGGTTCAAACCATCAGGTTGCAAACATTAGAAAATTTGAGTCTGTGGAAAAGACTCAATGGTTTTTTTTTCTTTCTTTTTTTATTCATTATTACAATCCCTATTATTAATATTTTTCCTTTTCAATTTCTAGGTATATATTCAAGAATATATTTAAGAATATATTGAAGAATAACCTTGTCGAAGAATTTGTCCATCAAAACCAAATTAATGCTGTCTTCTTCTTCTTGTAATATTATTATATATTTTCCAATCTAAAATAGAAAAAAAATGTTTCCTATACATATACTTTGCTTGTCTTGATGGCTGTTTGTTTGTATCCAATAAACGTCAAAACGGCTCAACTGATCGGGCCCAAATTTTGTGTGGGACCTCACATGACCCCAGGAAAGGTTTATGGATGCTCAAAATTCAAAATTTCAAAAATTTGCCCCCAACTAAATTTTATTTTCATTAAATTTTGAAAATCCACGAAATTTGTTAAACATTTTTTGTTTGTTTTTGTTTTACAATGTATACAAAGAGAAAATGTTAACAATTGAAATAGAAGATGGGTGCAAATCACTTATTTTTCTTTCAATGGGAAGCTTATATTTTTCTTCATAAATTTAAATAAAACGTGTTTACCCTCGGTATATTAGAAGCTGAGAGGTTTAAAAACTGGACAATCTCGTCTGGAAAAAGAAGTAATTAAATATTTAACAAAATCGTTTTAAGGTTTATAATCTAAGCATTAATCCATGGATATATTTTTTCTACAGAGCGTCCCATTTCATATTAGATTATGGGTTGGGGTGGGTTGGGGAGTGTGTGTGTCCAGACTGCTATTCACGGGTTCGATTCCATTATTCAACACAAACCTGTGGTTTCAAATCATCTGAAGCTGACATTTAGTTAAGCAGATCACCTGACGTGACGGGTGTAGGAGGAAGAGGGGCGGCTGTCAACAACTCTCGCAGAGAAACCGGGTGCATGCTTACAACTCAACAAGAAAGAAGCTAAGTGGATTGATCCAAGTGAATTTTGATGAAGAGAGGAAAGGTGGACAAACAGGGAGAGTTTGTGGTTGCCAGTTATAGGTACCTGGAGGTATCCAATCATTACTGCAAGGCCTCATTCCAATATATCAACTATTCTCAGGCCGCCCTTAGGCAGCTGGAATCTTGTCAACTATCTCCTTAGGATGAATGAAGCGTGGATGGATGAATGTACTGCCTGATTACAACCCCTGGTAGATCAATATAAACCCAAAGAACACCAACCTTTCACAATAGAAAAATTCCGAGATTTGATTCTAACAACCTGATCATGTCCTGGGACAAAAAAAAATCTCTTTAAAAAAAAGATTTTCTCAAAGTGTTACAGTTAAAGGTTGAAGAAATGTTAAAGCCTAGACTCGCATGAATAAGTCTACAAAGTAAAGGAAAAAATGTATTTACAGCATATAAAAAACAGACAATATTCGATACTACACTTATGGATTAAAACCGGAGCTTTTGATGGACTTCTGCCTTTCTTCCGCCTCATATGGCGAATCAACCTTTCTCCATCAATTCTTCGTCGATACTGCCGATCCAGCCGAGGGATACATAAGCTTTAACACCAAAATATACCATAATACTAATAAAATCTGGTATTTTCTCCAAGAAAACTTTTATAGAAATATTAAAAAAGATTCATGGTTTTTGAATTTTCTAATTTTGAGCTATAAACGATCTAATATGATGTGGGACACCCTGTATCTTGTTAGATTATACCTAAAGGAATTGAGCCTTTGCCACAAATACAAATTTTCTAATCCCGAAATCTTTTCAACCTGATTGTATAAACAGTCACTTGATCTTTTAAACTTAGATTATTGACCTAACAGAATTCTTAGTTTGAAATATCGTAGTCTACGACATTGGGTTGTATATATATGGATTCAAAAATCAAAGTTTGTGGCAAATACTTAATTTCTTTCCGTGAGAACAAGAAAAGGAAGACAACTTTTAGACTCAAGTTATTATTTTTAAAAGTGCAAGGAACATGATAGTTGTGTGCACAGTACATTTTACTTAATAAGTGATTTGTAAGCTATAAAGTAAGACTATTTGCTCAAATTCTTGAAAATTTAGATTTAATGTCGTCTTCCAGTTTTCTGCTTCACGTTTTTAAATCTTAATTATTTTCGATCATTGGGATAATGGGGTTCTTAAACTGATGATAATTGTTGATGGTGGTCGTTTGCTCACATATTTTAAAATACATTTTAGTTAGAACCCACTGTGATTTAAAGGTCTCACGCTCTCCAGCAAAAACTCTGCAACCGGATGGTTTAAACCTATGATATTTCAAACTTAGATTATTTGATCTGACAGATTTCAAAGTTTAAAATATCTAAGGTCTCCGACATTGGATTGCAAAGATATAAGGATAAAAAAATTTGAGTTTGTAGCAAAAACTCAATTCCTTTAAAATTATTCTTAACTATTTCGAAAAGAATTCAAGATTGACGATATTTATTTTGCCAAAATATACCGGATTATAACCGTTCTATTGACATCATTGAGCGGTAAAATTTGTTTATATTTTTATTTTCCTTGATTTACCTGATTTCCCGAGAAAAAGAAACCATGAACATTCAGGAACAAGTTTGAACCTTGTATCTCCCCTAAACAAATACTATATTAAGGGTACTGTAAGCGTAATTTTAGGTGATTTTCCAAGCAAAAATGTAAATACTCTTTATCTGATGAATAATGTGGAAGTTTTTCAAGGAAGCCATTCTTGCAGAAAAAGCAGAATTGAAAACAATCAGTTTTCTGCGTTTTAAACATGGTTATCTAAATCATACTTGATCAGACAACGCTTGAGAGGGTAACGTTGTGAATCAGGTATTGCCCTGTGTGCAAGGGTCACTTTAAATTTCACTAACAGTCCCTTTATACTAAAATGTTCAAATTTTCTAGGAAAAAATGTACTTACTTGTTTGCTTTGATGTGAACATGCTGTATAGGAAAGTTGAAATTGAACGGAAACATAATATTTTCTCCAAAACTTAATTCATTTATAATTTATATTTTGAATAGGCAATAAAAATAAATTGTAAAAAAATATAGCACTACTGACTTCGATTTTAAATTTAATTGTTGCTCTTGTATCTATTTTTTTCATGGATTTTGAAAAATTGAAACCTTCCTTGCGGTCATGTGAGGTCCCAAAAAAAGTTTCGGCCCGATCGGTTCAGCCGTTTTGACTTTTATCGGTTACAAAAAAAAATAGATAGACAAGTAAATATAAATATATATTGTTCAGTTCTGTCCCTTAAAAACTAGCTAATTCGTAATAAATCCGTTGCCTTTATTTGCAAACAATGTATTTGATATGCAGGGTGTCCCAAAAAAAGAAGGGAATTGCAACCGTTAAATAATTGTTATTCCATTAAAGAGCTAAAGCTAAGAAATGCAATAGGGCACATTTCAAATAAAATATGATAAAAGTTACAAGACGAAGGGCCAGTGAAATTCATTTAAAGGGAGTGTTCGCGAAAACTGAAAGGGGGTATAGGCTTAATGCGATAAAAAAGCGCTTTTGATCGCTACTAATCTTACTTCTATCTGTTGCGTCTATAAGGAGAAAATTGTTAAAAACGACTAATACTGAAGAACGTTGTGTCCATACAAATTCAGAAAGATGCAACATTCAACTGGGAGCGTAAAAAATCAATTTAATTCCAAACAAATCATTCAGATATTACAAACAATAGTCATCGACGCATTTGTAAATAGTTGATATTTCATAATATTTTGTATTTTTCATGTTCTGAGAGTTACTTTTGAAAACATTTATTCTTGTTTCGAGGATTTTTGATAATGAAGACGACATTTTCATATTTTCCAGGAATGTTTGAAAATTGCAGCGCCAGCGAAAATTATTTTTTTTTTAAATCAAAAATATTATGAAATATTAACTATATACGAATGCGTCGAAAAATAATCGATGACTACTGTTTGTAATATCTGAATGATTTTTTTGGAATTAATTGATTTGTTTACCATCCGAGTTGAATGTTGCATCTTCTGAATATGTATGAACACAACGTTCTTCGGTATTAGTCGTTTTTAACAATTTTCTCCTTATAGACGCAACAGATAGAAGTAAGATTAGTAGCGATCAAAAGCGCTTTTTTATCGCATTACGCCTATACCCCCTTTCATTTTTCGCGAACACTCCCTTTTAGTCAATATTTTTAATTCTTTTTGTATAATTGATATCTTTTGTTTCATAAGTTACAAGTTTAAACCCTGCTGAGAGCCGTAACACCGGCCATGAAGAGTGTTTTTGGTACACCCGATGTATATCTACATGTTCAATGTTTGTTTATCAAAGTATCTGTTAGTTTACCTGAAAATGGTGATGCACTGAACTGATGTTTCAAGCACGTCAGCTGAACCAGACAAATATTCAAAAGTTTTTTTATTTGTGGTTGGGAGTAAAAATAGTCTTTAAACCATGGATTAATAAAAATAACCGATATGACACTAGATGTCGTCTTTGCAATATTTGAATGAAACTCGTGCACAATAACCCTGAGGCAGAAGCCCAGAGGAGTTTCACGCAGTCGACGTAGAACAGGCTGTCTTGTAATTCTTCGCCGACTGCATGAAACTCCTCTGGCTTCTAGTGTCCTATCTGTTATTTTTAATAAAACTATGGTTTAAATCGACTGTACAGTGTACAGTTACGCACAAATAACAGAATATCAAATGCCAATTTGCCAAATGATCAAAAAAATTTAAATTATCAAAAAAATGTACGCAAACAGTTGGGACAACTATTTTTTTCAAAAATATCATACAATTTTACAATAAAGTTAATTTTAAAGTTTAAGGTATTCTTTAACATATTTTTATGATAAAACGTCTGTAAAATGCAAGCTCTCTCTTTCACGCAATCTATTTTTTTCTTCTTTCTCTTCTCTTCTATTTTCTTCTCTTCTCCTTTCTTCGCGTCATTTTTCTTCTCTTTTCTTTTTTTTCTATTCTTTTTTCATCTCTTTTCTTTTCTTCTCTTCTCTTCTGTTGTTCTCTTATCTCTTTTCTTCATTTCTCTTATCTCTTATCGTCTTCTCTTTTTTTACTCTTTGTTGTCGACATTCTCTGTTTGGTTACATTTCTAGCTTGTAGACCTAATTGAAATGTACTGCGTTTGTTCTCCATAATTAGGCATTTGATCATTTGACATTTTATATTCTGATATTTTTGCTACAGTTACATTGAAAACGTAATTTCAAGTGACTCTTTTATAAATGTCAGATTCACAACGGTACCCTTTAAACTATTATTCAAGAAACAATAAGAAAGCTTTCTTTATTTTTTCTGTCTTGAGTCTTCAATTCTGACAATTTTATTCCATCGTATCGGCTGCGTTAAATCCGCAATGAACGCCTACAGATAAACCGCAAATGAAAATAATTCAGATTTACATGGAAAAAATAAAGGATATCTAATTGGTCCTTCATCACTTGCAATCATCTAAAAATAAAAGAATACTTGAAATTTCATCTTCAGTTTCTTCAGTACTTTTATTTTATATTTATCTGTAAAACTATTTCCCTAAATTTTTTATGAGTTCTTGTTTTGACTCTACAGCATCCTCATTTTCTGTTTATTTTACTTCAAATCTTTAATCAAAAATTAAGTTTTTATAACTTTTTAAATTTTTTAATAACTCAAAAAGTCTCAGAATTTTTTTACACTTTTCACCCGTACTTTTGTAGATATTATGAAGAACAAATTCCTTGAATAATTTCTGCTCTCATAAGATTTGCCAAAGACAGGAGCAGAAACCTAAAAATCAGATCTGAATTCACAAAGGAATTGAGTCTTTGGAACAAAATCGAATATTTAAACCTCAATATCTTTAGAATTCGATGGTGTAAACCTTTGAAATTTCAAACTCAGATTATTTGATCTAACAGAATTCATAGTTTGAAATATCTTAAGGTCTGCAACATTTGGTTCCAGAGATATAGTGATTAGAAAATCAGAGTTTGTGGCAAAGACTCAATTCCTTTACAAAAAAAACCCAGTTTTTTAAAAATATTTTAGTTAGTTGTGTATGTTAGTTGGGGATTTCCGATCTTAACTAAGGAACCCCCTGACTTGATTCGGTAGCTCGGTAGAACCACAGGAATGTTAAAAATTAAAGGTTTAGGGGGTCAAATCTTTTATTTATAATAAATATTTTACTTATAGATTTGAATGAAGAATATAAAAAATGTTAAAGTAAGTATTTACCCACTTAAAAAACGTTTTTAAAATGGCAATCTCTTTAACTTTAATTTTCTAAATAACAGGAAATTGGTTGAATTTATAACAAAGCCTTACCCTGTCAGTAACATTGCTAGACTGATACATTTTTTAATGCCATTCTTTCTTTTATCTGGAAATTACGATTTCCTGACAAATTAGGATAATTCAGAAAATTACAGTTTTCAGAAAGGAACAATTTTGAAATGCTAAAACAATTTGAACCAATTTTTAATGTTCCGTGATCAGTTAAAAGTCAGCGCCATTAAAATATCATTATTTTTATTTTTTGTCTTTATGGGGCGAGGTGGGGGCCGGGGGGGGGGTTATTTTTTATTTGCAAACATTTAAATCCTCCTCATCCCTAAAATATAAAATCCAGCTTTAAGTACTTGTATTTTCCGCAAAACTCCCATATTTGAATTTGTATTACGCCATTATCACTTTATACAAGAAATGCTGTACAATCTGAAAAAAATACTGAATTAAATTATAACAAAAATCTACCAAGTTTTTGTCTGAAGTGCCAGTTAAGTCCCCAATTTTCTTCCATTAAATATCCTTTTCTTGAATAATTTAATCAGATAAAATTCGTCAGATTATCTTCTGATAAGTTTGTAATTAAATCATTCAATGGAAGTTAAACAATTTTATGAAATCCCATCGGGAACATGTTTTAGAAAATTAGACAATTTAAAGTTTTACAATTGAAATGGAGATGCAGAGAGTCAAATTATGTTTGGATATGCTCAAGTCCAAGTTTTACAGGACAAAAGTTGTTCCGCATAAAAATTCGTTAAAAACATGATTAGACGGTAGTACGGGGGGGGGGAGGTAGTTAAGATGTTTTGAAAGTCTAAAGTGAATCAGGGGCACCCTTGGTGGAGGGGGGGGGGGATCATTATTTTTTCATCATGCATGTCTTGCTATCTTTTTATGACATTTGAATTTAAAGTACTCATTTAATACCATAATGGTTCCAACATTTGAGAAAAAAAAGGAAAACGATAATTGTTTTAATCAAGTATCTACAAGTAAAGCCTTTATTTTTCGATACTTAATTATCGTGTTATTATAAAGGGTGTAAAAAAAACAATTCACACTTTTTTCTCTTACTAACTATAACTATTATCTGATCATAATGAAATTTATATTCCATTGTCTCAATATGGACGTTAAGACTACATGGTTAAAAAATTATCAGATTTGGTCCACCCTGCTCTGAATAAATGCTCTTTATCTCAAGGGAAAGGATTTGGTCCACCCTGCTCTGAATAAATGCTCTTTATCTCAAGGGAAAGGATTTGATCAGTTTATAAAGCGGATAGGATTTCCTATTCTCGCCACACTGCTTTAGTTGACAGAGATTTTTACATTTCTTCCTTGCAAGCTTCTTTTTTACCATAGCCTAAATATTTTTCATTATTTAATTTCGTGATTATAGTCAGGTGTAAACCAAAATTTCATTTAAACTATTTGCTGACAGCATCAGAGGCTGGCTGCGGTGGCTGTTTACAAGTTTCATCCTGCCGGCAAACTGTATATAGTAGTAAGGTATATTCCTTCTTGAAATATTGGTCCCTGGCAGCTGTTCTCCTTGTTAAAGGAGAAGTGGTGGTTTACAATGTCCTTCATATTGGTGTTTGGTCAAGAGATAAAGAGAATTTATTCAGTGTTGACCAAATCCGATAACTGTTTAATCCATGAAGTCCAATACCCTGGAGAAGTGGACATTGTGATATTGAGTTCATTATAATTGGATATTGCCTGTGATAGAAAAGGTGTAAAGTGTTATATTTTTTCCATCATGTTTTCATTTCCTGACGTCAGATATTAATCAATAATTAATTCTTCTTAAATTTTCTGATTAGTCTCAAAAATCGCAATTTAGACCGATTGATCTAATATCATGTGGGAAACCCTGTATATATTTACAGTGATGTTCTAAATAAGCCGGAATAATATTAATTGATTGAAAAATTCAAAGTCGTCTTTAACCTAAAAAAGCTTGTGGCATTCAACATCAGTAACTTGAGTTTAGCAATATTTTTTATGAAACAATAATCACAAAATAGCGATAATCCCATGCGTTTTCCAAAATGTAGTCTGCCTTTTTTTGTTTTAAAAAATACCAGAGATATTAAGAATTTGGTTTAAATTTCAATTCATTAAATAAAACCATGAAAATGTCTCCTTTTGAACAAAATCATTCATACCTCCGGCGATTATGATAGCACAAAAAAGGCAGACCATATTTTGGAAATGTCAGGACTAGGTCTATTATGTGTAGTGTAGTAGTAGTAGTAGTGTACCGGGATAAAATACCATCATTGTTTACGTTGCATTAATGCTTGAAACTGTATAGTGTATAAAGCTTAAATTTCTGTTCCCCCAAAAGCCCTTATAATTTCGCCCAGGTTGACCATGACTTTGGGGATTTTGGGGGAATTTTTACAGTTTTAGCTTAAAAACTATGACTTTGTTACCACTCCAATTCTATAACTTTTGATTTTTTCTAATTCTCTACATCAACTAAAGATTAAAAAATTTCTCAAAAAAATCAAGAAATTTAAATTTTAATATGCATAGCTGAGTTCCTCAGCTAGTTTTTCATAATGAATATAGGGTTACCATATCAAATTCAGAACATTTTTGTTGCGTGGTTAGACAATTTTGAGTTTAAAAAACTACATTAATAGCTTATAACTAAGAGTTTGCTAAATTCCGCGTGAAATGTGCATTCGTAAGTTGTTACGACAAAACTGAGATATATTACAAATAATATTTCTCAAAGTTAACCCTGTTAGGATATTAATAATACTCGGCATGTGAATGGGGTTTAAGCTGTGGAAAATTTTAAATTAAAAAAAGGAAATATATTTTCTCATTGTTTGAATTACAAAAAATTGTAAAATAGACAATTCCTGCATGAAGGGACTATGCGTAACTCTCCATGCAAGGATGACCAAGCTCTTTTCACAACAGTACCTTCGAAACCTTAATCTTATCAATTATGTGGAAGATTTTGTCGTTTTTCTAGGTTTAAAAGTGTTTAATTCTGATTATTTCTATATGTTTTCTTGCAATAGAAATGTGCAAGTCACCTCTGACAATAAACCGCCATTGAAAATAATT